GACCCACTGGCCAGCCAGTTTAGCCAAAATAGTGAACTCTAGGATCAGTCTCACAAAATAAGGTGCCAACCTCTGGCCTCCACACACATTGCCTCCCTGGGCATATCTGCCCATACACACATGCCATGTAGACCCCACATGCACTAAAGCAAGGGTCAGCCGTGGGTCATGGGGTGAGAGTGTGCGTGTGGTTCTATCAGAAGGATGTAAGGGCAGAAGGTTATCCTGGGCTACCGGAGACCTTGTCTTAAAACAAAAAAAAAATCAATGTAAAAACTAATAAAGTTTTTAGCCGGGCGGTGGCGGCAAATGCTTTTAATCCCAGCACTCAGGAGGCAGAGGCAGGCGGATCTCTGTGAGTTCGAGACCAGCCTGGTCTACAAGAGCGAGTTCCAGGACAGCCTCCAAAGCCACAGAGAAACCCTGTCTCGAAAAACCAAAAAGAAAAAAAAAAAAGAAAGAAAGAAAAGGGAAAGAAAGCAAGGAAGGAAAAAAGGAAAAACCAAGTTGAACCCTTGGCACGCAGGCGGGTGATCCCTTGGTGACCACAGTTCTGAAACAGGGCCAGGGGAAGCTGCTGAGATCATCTGACAGTGCCTTGAAGGAGAAATGACATTCCAGCTCATGCTCAGATGCCAGCCACGTCACTGTGACCAGGACTTCAGGGCAGTGCGCGAAGGGAACAAGGAGCTCCGCCTTTGGAAACTGGCTCCCTTGTCGCATCCGTGCATGCTGTGGTCCGTGAAGCCTCCTCAGCCAGCCTCTGCGGGATGAGGCGAAGGCTCGCCTTGTCCAGAGCCCCAGCAGTCCGGCTCCCCCTGAATAATCATTACTTAAATTACTAGGCTTGTCTGCAAAGGCTCCCAGGCTGTGACCTTCAGGAACTGAGCCTCCAGGGGAGGGGATGTTCTATTTTCGGATGTGCATAATGAGCGAGAGGCTCAGGCAAGCCTCGCTCCTGCTCTTGGCTCCGTGTCTTTTCCAGCTTGGCCAATCAGGGTATCTGCCTCCCTCCTCCTCCTTTGCCCCTGGTCCTCAATAATTTGCCTCCATAGAGGAAGCCTGAGCAGGTGCAAGTTTGGATAAAAGAGGGGTACGCCTCTAGGACGGCACCCCCAAAGTCCCCCTGCCTGTGTCTGTCCACCCTCACACACTGTCTGTCAGGGGACCAGGGCCAACTCACTGTCTGTCTGTTTTGCTTTGGGAAACACCCGAGGACACATTTTGAGAAACGTGAAAGTAGAAAATATTTTAAAACAAAAAGCACGGGGAAAACCGTGCCCACACCCATCCCCTCAGCCTCCAAGCTCTATCCTGGGTGGCTGGGCTGAGGCTGCAGCCTGATTTCCTTTCCTAACTGCGGGGGTGCTGGGTCCTGCTTCCGCCACCAATGCCACCAATGCCACCAATGCCACCAACCGCAGTCCCACTTCTTCCAGGACCTGCCTGAGTCAGGTGGTCTAATGCGGCTTCCCTTTCTTCGGGAGGTAGGGTGGGCAGACTAGGATTCCTGAGTAAACCAGGAAACATCCATCCTGCTAGTATCCAGGATGTGGGGCTGCGCAAAGACCAGGCCGCAGCCCACTTCAGGCCCAAATGGAAGATGATGTCAGAGGGAGTCAGGGAATGTTTCCACTGAGTGGCTCTTCCCAATGTCTGTGGCTGGCAGTATGGTTAGCCTGTTCCAGGCTTGTCACAGAGGAATAGAAGCAGCTGGGTTTCCAGGTCACACGAGAGGAGGTGGCAAAGCCGCAGAGGTCCATTGGTGCCTGGGGGGAGGCCGAGTAGGTGGGCAGTTCCAAGGGTGAGCGCTGTCTGCAAGGCAGTGCCAGGCTGAGGGAGCACTGGATGAGCTGTTTGCAGCCCCTGCCCTGGGTGAAAAGTTGGAGTTTTGCAAGCCAGTCAGTACTTTGTTTAGCAAAGACGCCTTTCTCTCTCCTGGGTTGTTTTCAGAAATGGGAAAGCAATTTTTCTCTGGACTGCATCTCAGGCCCAGCAAGGCCAGTCTCAGCCCCACACTCAACGTAAATGCTTATTTCTGGAAAAAGCAAGGTCTTGGTTTGTGTTTGGATAAAATCAGAGGAGTTGGGAAAGAAGGTTCTGGAGCCAAGTGAGGACAGCATTACCATGTGATTTCCATCTGTGGTTAGTGAAACACTGGCCCCAAAATTGTCCCCACCACAATCTCAGAAGCCTGTGAATGAACATGATGGGCTATTCCCAGAAGGGAATTTGCAGAGGTGGCCTGAGGGGGTGGCCTGCACCTTTAATCCCAGCACTCCGGAGGCAGAAGCAAGAGCATCTCTGTGAGTTCCAGGCCAGCATAGTCTACATTGCAAGCTTCAGGACAGGCAGAGATACATTAGTGAGACCCTGTCTCAAAAACAAAAACAAACAAACAACAAAACCAGCAATGAAAAGAATCTGGACATGGGGGGAGGCTGGGGATGTACTTCAGTTGGGAGAGTCCTCTCGTAGTGAGAAGGAAGCCCTGGGTTATAGCACCAGCACCGCATGAACTGGGTGTGAGGTCACATGCCTGCATTCCAGTGCTTGAGAAGAGGATGCACGAGGGTCAAGAATCCAAGGCTATCCTTGAGACTAGTCTGGGGGTACGTGAGGAGGAGGAGTCTGGAGATGGAAATTATCTAGGGGCACCTGGCTGGGGCCAATGGTCCCAGGGACCTTGTGAGAGACAGGGAGAAGGAAGGGGCATGCTTATCGAAATAAAATCCGAAGAAGTATCAATTGCTGGCTTTGGTCACGAAGGGTCCTCCTACCAAGGAACGCAGGTGGCCTCTAAAAGCTTAAGGGAAGGCTAGGTTTCCCAGACCACAGGTCCGCTGAGGACTTCCAGAACCGTAAGATTAAATTTGTGCTAAGCCTGAGTTGCAGTAAAGACACATCATGCAACAACATCCAACACGAAACTCAAACTTTGCTCCTCCAGGGACCGGGGAACAAACCCATCTGCTCAGGAAACCGGAGATGCCATAAGTCAGGGTAGAGCCAGAATCTGAAGGTCAAGGTAGCCAAAACAGTGCAGGAGCCCGGGCTGCCTGCAGGCATGAGCAGCAGTCGCACCGGGCAACGCTTGCAGGGAGGGTGGCCCGCCTTCCGGACACCCCCTTTCTTCTGTACCGATGCTATCCATGGCAGTTCCCTCCTTCAAGGTGCCCAGCGTTACATCTCTCCACGGAAGGCATAAAACATTGATGAATAATGGCCCTAAGAGCTCATTTGTCTCCCCTCCCAACCCTTCAACTTGAGGAGGAGCATTTCTGTACAAGGTAATGGAGGATGCATCTTTCTTTGTCTAACCAATACATCTTGGGCTGGGAGTGTAGCTCAGAGGTAGAATATTCACACGGTCTGGGGTTTAACCTCTGGTACCACATAAAGACAGTTCCAGGCCAGCCTGGTCTACAGAATGAGTTCCAGGGCTACACAGAGAAACTTTGTCTGAAAACACCATATATATATTTTTTATTTTCAGGGGTTGGAGTTCAGTGGGTTGAGTCCTTGCTGTACAAACACGAAGTCCTGAGTTCAGATTTCTAGCAGCGACGTAGAACTTGGGTCTGAGAAGCCGGGCGGTGGCGGCGCACGCCTTTAATCCCAGCACTCGGGAGGCAGAGGTAGGCTGATCCCTGTGAGTTCGGGACCAGTAGTTACACAGAGAAACCCTGTCTCGAAAATCAAAAAAAGCCGGGCAGTGGTGGTGCACGCCTTTAATCCCAGTACTCGGGAGGCAGAGGCAGGCGGATCTCTGTGAGTTCGAGACTGGGCTGGACCGACAGCCTCCAAAACAATACAGAGAAACCCTATCTGGCAGCAGGTAGATCCCCAAGTTCAAGGCCAGCCTGGTCTACACAGCAAGCTCCAGGCCAGCTACACAGAGAAACCCTGCCTCAAAAGCAAAAATACGGAGGTGGAGTGGAGCTGACCTTTGCCCTTGACACATGCATGTACAGGCGAGCGCTCCTACCTGGAAAACGTCGTCCGCCTGTGTAAACGTAGGAACAAATCTCAGGCAACAGAAAGGACACTGGGTGAAAAGAGGAAGAGATCAGGGTGCCGGAAACAGCAGCAGAAAGAGAAACCAGGAGCGTCCTCTGGCCAAACACCGGAAGACACCAGTCTGGCTGACACACTATTGTCTGAGCCACCAGGATGCCGGGCAGGTGGCTGGAATCATCAAAGTGGCACACCTGTGGGTGTTCAGATTCAAGACCGTTCTGGAATCCTAATGACCCTGAGTTGTAGCCAGGTCAACAAGGCCTCGAGGTAAGGGTATGTGGGAGGCAGACTCCAAAGACTCAGTGGGCCCTGGGCCCCAGCCGCAGCAATGTGGCCCAGGAGGACAAAGGAGAGTCAGTGTTTCTTTGTTGTTGTTGGTTTTGTTTGTTTGTTTGGGTTTTTTTTTTTTTTTTGGTTTTTTGAGACAGGGTCTCTCTGTATTGTTTTGGAAGCTGTCCTGGAACTCGCTCTGTAGACCAGGCTGGCCTCGAACTCACAGAGATCCTTCTGCCTCTGCCTCCTGATTAAAGGTGTGTATGCCACCACCACCAACACCACCTGGGACATGGCAACTCCTACAAAGGAAAGCATTTAAGTGGGGCATGCTTAATGCCTCAGAGGTCTAGTCCATCACCAGCACAGGCAGACACGGTGTTGGAGAGAGAGCTGGCACCTCCACATCTGGAGAGAGAGCTGACACCTCCACATCTGGAGAGAGAGCTGGCACCTCCACATCTGGAGAGAGAGCTGGCACCTCCACATCTGGAGAGAGAGCTGGCACCTCCACATCTGGAGAGAGAGCTGGCACCTCCACATCTGGAGAGAGAGCTGGCACCTCCACATCTGGAGAGAGCTGACACCTCCACATCTGGAGAGAGAGCTGACACCTCCACATCTGGACTCTCGGGCAGCAGGGAGAGATAGCGAGCGCACTGGGACTGCATTCCGCTTTTGAAACCCCAAAGCCCACCCACCCACAATGACACACTTTCTCCAGCAAGACCACACCTCCCAATGCCACTCCCTGAGCACTCCAATCTATGAGCCTATGAGGCCATTCTTCCTCAAACCACCACAGAGTAGAGTCAGGGTTGCCCTCACACAGCTATAGTAGTGAAACTATTCCACAGAAGAGGAAACACAGACGAAGCCTCCATTTCAACACGCAGCCAGGGGGCCGTACAGACTCCACATCTCCCCGTGTGGCACCCCCAAGCCAATGCCACGCAATGCCCGGCTTGGCCACCGTGGCGCAGCATCTGGAGACTCTCAGAATGGAAAGCCACACGCTGGGAAGTCTGGGAACACAGTCTTAACATTTTGCAGAGGTGAACAGTTCCTTCCTCTTGCAGCCTCCCAGGTAGCGACATGCTGTAAGAACAGAGAATTTGAGGTTCAGGAGGTCTGCCCTTGGGGGAATTGAGCTTACCAGGGAAGCTGAGCATTAGGGTATATGCCTGTGATCCCAGCACTCAGGAGACTGAGATCAGAGCATAGCCTTGAGTTTGAGGCTGGACTTGGGGTCAGTTTCCAGCACCCACATGGAGGCTGACCACCATATGATCCAGTGTCCTCTTCTGACCTTCACAGGGACCAGGCACACGTGCGGTGCACATGCGTACACGCAGGCAAATCACCTGTACACATAAAATAAATAAATGCATCTAAAGATGCTATCTTAAAATTACAACACAACCGTCAAGGGCGACAGGGAAAGTGACTCAGTTGGTACCGTGCTGGTCCCGTGTGCTCAAAGCCTGGGTTTTATTTCTAGTATTACATGAACTCGGTGTGGTAGCAGAAGCCTGCAACCCCAATACTAGGAAGGTGGAGGCAGGAAGGCCAGGAAAGCAAGGCCAGCCTCATTTATGTAGCAAGTCTGAGGACAGCCTACGATACACAAAGCCCTGTTCCAAAAGACCAAATCCCTTAAAAATACAAGGAAATAGAAATCACCCAGGGAAGGCATGGTGGGTGAGGTGCCGGGCATCCTTGCCTACTGAAAACAACCAGGGCCAGTGACAGCTCTGCAGGTAAAGGCGCCTCCCACCAACCCTCACTTCCGGAGTTCATGCCCTGGAATTCTCACGATGCAAGTAGAGACAGGGTTTCTCTGTGTAGCTCTGTAGACCAGGCTGGCCTCGAACTCAGGAGATCCCCCTGCCTCTGCCTTCCGAGTGCTGGGATTAAAGGCATGCTCCGCCAATGCCTGGCTTAAAAAGTAGTTGACTTCTACACTCACTTACACACACACACACACACACACACACACACACACACACACACACGTAAACACCAAAAAACACTTAAACGTTTGACCACCTGGTGGTCTTGAGTTCCTGGGGTGCAGAGGTCAGCTCTTAGGTGTTCTTCTCTGGGAAAGCTGTGCTTGAAACCTAGGTAGAAAAACAATTCCTTTCTTTCACATGAGGCAGGTGTGGCTGGAAACAGAGGTTGGGTTGATGATCAAGTCAGAGCTCCTGACTGGCCTGAGGTCAAGGCTAAGTGGGCCCTGCAGGACACAGGCTAGTTATTGAGTGTGCTTGCGTGCGTGCGTGTGTGTGTGTGTGTGTGTGTGTGTGTGTGTGTGTGTGTGTCTGTGTCTGTGTGTGTGTGTCTCTGTGTGTGTCTCTGTGTGCGTGTAGTGCTTGGGCTAGCTGCTGTTTCCTTCTCCTGGGGGCCCTGGGTACCTGGAGTGGCTGTTGAGGTGAGCTGTCCGGTGCACCAGGCTAACAGACACCCGGATAAGCTCTGGTGGGACGTGGCCTCCCAGTCCGGGGGAAGGGCTTTGGGTTTGTTCTCAGCAGGGTTGGAAATCGGTCTGACAGCTCCAAGAAGACCCTTCCCCTCTCAGCGCCTTCCGGCTTCACAAACAAAGCAGCATCTTGCTGATGTCTCCCTGGGCTCCGGAGCCAGGGGTGCGATCCCACGGCTTCTGGAGTTAGGATATAGTTCTCTAAAAGGGGAAAGGGTCTAGAAGGGCTACCCAGGATTGGGGAGAGGATCAAGACCAAGAGAGGCAAAGGCCAAAGAGGTGAGGAGGCCAGGGGGTGAGGTGGCAGGGAGCACAGAGGAGGCTTTGTGCTCACAGGGACTAGAGCCAGACGGAGCCCCCCCTCCCACTGGGTCTTTCGCGGTCAGGAAGGGAACTGGGCCCCGAGGCCCGGGATAAAGAGCCCTGTAAGCTGCTTCTGCTTCTCTCACCGACTCAGTTTCCAGTCAGCCGCACCCCAGCTGGCCTGCAGTTTGGGAGGATCCAGCCCCAGGCCTCCAAGAAAAGCGCTATCCTGTTCCAGGTCGGCATTTTGAGCATGAACTTACAGCCTGGTTTTTCCCTTGCCCGGGCCTGGCTTTCCCCTCTTCAGTTGCTAACGGCTGGCTTCTCGGGCTTGGTAGACACTCCCTCCCAAAGGTGGGAGAGGGAGCAGGAGTCTGGGCAGCCAGCCTCCTCCAAGCTGGAGCTCCTCGGGGAGAAGAGCTTCCTAACTGAGTTTGCTAGACGCCAAAGCCAACCTGGACCCCGATCTCTGGAAAGGGGAGGGACAGGGCCGAAAGAGGAGCGAGTAGCAGGGAGACCCGGCTCCCCCGCAGAGCCCCCTCCTCCCACCACGGCTCGCATCCCCGCAGCGCGTGACCGTGACCGCGGCACTGCGGCTGCAGAGCCGCCATCCTCAGTCTCTGTCCGTGCTGGATTCCTGGGGTGGGAGGTGGGAAACCGGAGACCGGGGTGGGTGAAAGACCAGATCTCGGTGGCCACGCGCGTCCGTGCGTGATGACGCCCTTGCTTCCAACTCCTCTAGTTTTTTTTCCGGGAGTTTCTCCACCCGTGAGCGTGTCGCTGAGTCACCTTCTAGGAAGGCTCGGGTCAGGCTGTCCCGGGGAGGTGCAGAGGCAAGGTACATATTGCAGAGACGCGTGCGGAACTGCAGGTCCAGCCTGCGCCCATGGCCAGTCCGGGGACCCCTGAAATAGTGGGAAACTCGGTAGGGAACTCAGCAGTCCTCTGGGAGAGAAGCCACCTTCAAGGCGTGACCCAGTTCACAGCAACTCCTTGTGATCTGGTCCCCCGCTCCTCCGGGACTCGCCCCGTCTGGACTTTAAGAAGGCGATGCAAAGAGAGAGAGGTGTGTGGGGTCGCGCGGGGGCCGGTGTGGGCGTGCGAGCCCTCGGCATCTGGGGCTGGACCACCGCAGCTTCCTTTGGGGCTTTGGTGTCTGTATTGGTCCTGCCTGGGTAGGTCACCAAGTCGGATTTGGCGGCTTCGTTTTCCTGGTCTCCGCCAATAATCTCCCAGGAATTTAACTCGGGTTAGTTATGGACATCTTCAGGTCATTCGCCGCGAAATACATAACTTACACAACGACCCCTGCGTCTTGGTTATCTCCCCCGAAGCGCACACTCCCGGGCGCGAGTGCATCTTCACCCGGAGTTTGCAGGAGGGGGTGGGGAGCGGTGGGACCACGCCCCCAAGCTTGCCCTCCAATCCCGATGAGAGCCCCCCAGTGCCCTGTCCACGCTGCTGGGTTCCTCCAGTTGGTGAGGATCGTGGATCCGAATCATCCGCTGCAGGCAGCTTCCCAGGCCTCGACAGTATCCCCTATCCCCCGAGGTTGCTGAGGAGACCCCCTCCTCCCGACTTCGTGCTCCTTCCAGGAGTCCCCAAACCGGTTCCGCTTTCTCCAGGAAGACTTGACTAACTGCTTCAGGTCCGGCGGCTGAGTGGTCCAGCGGCTGCATCGGGAAGCTGAAAGTAAATCCGCCACGGAGGAGCAGGGGAGCAAGGGAAGCTTGCGGGTGGCGGGTGACCCGACCTGGCTCAGAGCTAGGACAGCAGGAAGGATCTGGGTGTGGAATTCTGATCAGGCTGGGGCTAGCTAGGCGACGCCAAAGAGGCGCTGCCTCCCTACTGTGAGCAGCGGTTTCGAGGCGCACGCAGCCCAGCATCCTCAGCGAGAGCGCAGAACCACGCGCACCCGGACCGGATGCCGGGCGCGGGGATCTGGGCTGCGCCCTCACTTTCGCGCTCCCGGGACGTGCTGCTTAAAGCCGTGCTCGGAACTCCACGCCTCGCTGGTTTCCTGAGCCGTTCCTCTCCAGCTGCTCCTCCACCGGGTGCGCAATCGTGTCCGGGGATCCAGCCACCCCACCCCAATCTGCGCGTGGGCTGCAGCGACCGTGTTGGAGGCGGCACTGTGTGATCCCGGGCGGGTGGGGGACCGGGGCGGTGCGCAGCGCTGGTTCCAACCAGGAGAGCCGGAGGGACGCGGGGCGTGGCCAGGCCGGCTCAAAGGCTCAGCGCCCTCCCCGCGCCGTCGCCAAGTTGAGCGAAAAGTTTGAGGCCGGAGGGGAGCGATCCCCGGGAGTCGGCGGCGCCAGTCCCCAGCCGCGAGGCCGAGCCCGAGAGGAGCCGCTTCCCGCCACAAGCCGCTAGAGGGACGGACTGGGTAGGGACGTCCCCCACGCCCCCCCCTCTCCCGCAGTTGGCGGCGCCTTCGTGGGCCCGCGAGGGAGGGGACCACACGGCCGGGGTCCCAGGGCAGAAGGCAGCGGTGGGTCCACCCGGCTCGGGCTGGCTCCTGCGGGGCTTGGGCGCGGTCCTCACGAGCGCGGCGCGCATCCCCTTTGGGGACTCGGAGACCCGGCGGTTTCGGAGTTCAGGCGGGGGACGCGGCGACCAGGCTGGCTGGGACGCGCGGTTCTTCGTCCCAGAGTGAGCGCCCCGCAATGCCAGTTCTGGGAAGCTTTTGCAACTGGAATCTACGTCAACCAACCCCAAGGGGTGACGAGCTGGCCCGACCGAGGGAGCCACGGGTCACTGACTCATGCGTCGGGCCGGAATGCAGAGTCCCCTGGATCGGAACGTTCGCGGGGTGGGCGCGCCGTCTGGAAAGCTAGATCCCGGGCCCATGGGGCTCTGTGATTCCACAGCAGGCAGACCCCTGTGCGAGCCAGGAGCTCCGGCTGGGAACCCTGCCCGCTTGCATAGAGCCCCGGCAGCGAACCCCGCCAACACTGCCTCCTCCTGTCCCTCAGATCTGGCCGCCTCGGGGGATGACGGGGCCGCTCTCACAGCCCAGGGAGGTGGAGAGGGCGAGCCCCACAGCCAGTCGCCAGACACCCTCCTGGGCAACACCGATAAGGAGCTGAATACAGGAGTCGCCGTTACCCTTAGCACCGCCGGGACAGCGCCGGTGGCCCCTTGTCAGCGGGAGCCCCGGGACCTGGCGATGGAACCAGGTTTGTGGGGTGCCTGTCTTGGGAAAGGCTAAAGGGACCCCTTAAGAAATGATGGACCACAGAAGGCCTAGGGTCGCTCTACAGAAACATTTTATCCCACGACGCCAGAAGCCGTCTGGCCCTGAGCCAAAGGAAGAAGTATCGAGGTGTCCCACTCCGGGACAACCTGTGGGAGGCCGCTTCCTCTAGCAGGGCTGTGTTGACCAGGTACCCAAGTGTTGGGTTCCTCCATTCGTGTCACTGCAGCTCTCTTCCGCCCTCTAGCGGCTGATTGTGACATTGCCCTCCTCCTCTGTCCTCTCTTTTGTGTGTGTATGTGTGTGTGTGTGTGTGTGTGTGTGTGTGTGTGTGTGTGTGTGTGTGTGTGTTTTAAGGTTTCCCGAGACAGGGTTTCTCTATATTGCTTTGGAGGCTGTCCTGGAACTAGCTCTGCAGACCAGGCTGGCCTGGAACTCACAGAGATCCACCTGCCTCTGCCTCCCGAGTGCTGGGATTAAAGGCGTGCGCCACCACCGCCCGGCCTTTTGGTTTTTTTTTTTTTTTTTTTTTTTTTGAGACAGGGTTTTTCTATGTAACTCTGGCTGACCTGGAACTCGCTTTGTAGAGCAGACTGGCCTCAAACTCACAGAGATCTGCCTTCTTCTGCCTGTCGAGTGCTGGGATTAGATGTGTGTGCCACCTCTGCCAGGCTGTTTTTGTTTTAAGGATTATTTTTATGTGTATGAGCGCTTTGATAGCATGGAGGTGTGTATGTGCACCACGTGTGTGCTTGGTGCCCTTGAAGGCCAGAAGAGGGTGCAGGGTCCCTGGGACTGGAGTTTGGGGCCATTGTGAACCACCATCCGCGTGCTGGAACTCAACCTGGATCCTTTAGCAGAGAAGCTAGTGCTCTCAGTTCCTGAATCCTCTCTCCAGTCTGTCTGTCTGTCTGTAGCAGGCTGTCCGCGGGGACTACTCCCACGGCCTTGCAGAGTGCTGGTGCTGCTGAACCCCTGGAGCGGCAAGGGCAAGGCTTTGCAGCTCTTCCGGAGTCTCGTGCAGCCCCTCCTGGAGGAGGCTGAGGTATCCTTCAAACTGGTGCTCACTGGTGAGTACTGTCCCCAGGGCGCGAAGGAAGCATCTTCCGTCAGAAAACTGGCTCCGAGAACATCAAAATTTCCCCCCAGAACGGCAGAACCATGCCAGGGAGCTCGTGTGTGCCGAGGAACTGGGTCACTGGGACGCCCTCGTGGTCATGTCCGGTGATGGTCTGATGCATGAGGTAAGGGTGGAGCCGGAGGATGGCCGGGGGGTCGGGATAGTGTTTCCTGGGCTGAGGGCACTATGGTTTAACAGGTGGTGAATGGGCTCATGGAACGGCCTGACTGGGAGACTGCCATCCGGAAGCCCCTGTGTAGCCTCCCTGGAGGCTCTGGCAACGCACTGGCAGCTTCCTTGAACTACTACGCTGGGTGAGAGCCGAGGGTCCCCCGTGGGTGTCATGTCCGCTACCACCAGGTTTTCCAAGTTCCCCCTGGGAAGCTCCCTTTTTTCTTCTGGAGCCCTAAACCTCCGTTTCCTGGCGCTAGAGTCTCCCTTCGTCTGCTGCCGCAGGCTCCACTAACTCCCTGGGGACCACTGCTGCCGCTTTGCTAGCCCGCACTCTCCAGAAGGAACAAAAAGGATGCGTGGCGTGGGTGCGCCTGCCCGGTCCCATCCGACCTTCAACCTTGCAGGTACGAGCAGGTGACGAACGAAGACCTCCTGATCAACTGCACCCTGGTACTGTGCCGCAGGCGCCTGTCACCCATGAATCTGCTGTCGCTGCACACTGCATCGGGACTGCAGCTCTATTCTGTGCTCAGCCTGGCCTGGGGCTTCGTGGCGGACGTGGACCTGGAGAGTGAGAAGTACAGGCGCTTGGGGGAGATCCGTTTCACCGTGGGAACCATCTTCCGCCTAGCAACCCTGCGGGTCTACCAGGGCCAACTGGCCTACCTTCCTGTGGGAGAGGCTGCCTTCAGGATACCTGCTTCTCCTGCACCGGCGCACAGGGGCCCCGTGGACACGTACCTCGTTCCCCTGGGGGAGCCAGTGCCCCCTCACTGGACTGTGGTGCCCGAGGAGGATTTCGTTCTGGTGCTGGTGCTGCTACACACCCATCTGAGCACGGAGATGTTCGCGGCACCCATGGGCCGCTGCGAGGCTGGCGTCATGCACCTGTTCTATGTGCGTGCAGGGGTGTCGAGGGCCATGCTGCTGCGCCTCTTCCTGGCCATGCAGAAGGGCAAGCACATGGAGTATGACTGCCCATATTTGGTGCATGTGCCTGTGGTTGCCTTCCGCCTGGAGCCCAAGACCCGGAGGGGCGTGTTTTCTGTGGATGGAGAATTGATGTCGTGTGAGGCTGTGCAGGGCCAGGTGCACCCAAACTACTTTTGGATGGTTTGTGGGGGCAGAGATGCCCCGTCCCGCCGGGAGCCCCAGCAGACGCCACCTCCAGAACCGTTGTGATTCCCTGGCTCTCTGTGCCTTTGTCTGCTGTGTCTACACTGGGATGGGACCCTCCCCTGCATCCATCCCCCGGCGTGGGAGGGTATCTAATGGAGGTGGCGGGGACTCTGTAGATGAAGCAGGAAGGCGGGGCTGGTTTGGAAAGAGGCTCTGCCCTCTAAACATTAGACTGAGACGCTGGACCAGAGCCTGCTGGCATGTAGAAGCCGGGTTGCATGTAGAAGGCAACTCCCCATTGCTCTTGGTGCCCTTCCCTGAGAATCAAACCCAAATAAAGTGACTTTTCCAACCTGCTGATCCCGCCCTAGGGATTGGGAAGAGCTATGGAACTGTACTGGGGATAGAACCCGGGGTCTCCAACATGCTGTGTAGGCACTTTCCAGCTATATCCCAAGGCACAGTCATGTCAGTGTTGGGCACATCGACTCCTTAGGGACTTGATAATCAGACCCCTTCAGTTGTAGAGGCCTCCAGAGCCTGGCCAGATGCCCCATCCTACACAAGGGAAGTCTGAGGCTGAGTGCTCCATCTCTGAAGTAAATGGTAGGCGTCCTGAGTGGACGGAGCAGGGAATCCTTCCTGAGTTAGCCTCGGAAGTAGGACGCAGATCCTGTTGAATGTGGGTGCCCGCCTGGGCCTGCTTACTAGGCACTGTCTAGGAGAAGGTGGAACATTACATGGAACCCTGCCCTGGCCCCAGGTGGTCTTGGGAAGCGCTAGAGCACATAATGGGGTGGGAGTGGGGGCGTCCCACGCGTGTGGCTCCAGGGAAGCCATCGCCCGTGCTGGGTGGACTTCCCAGTGTGGCTGCTTTGGAGTCCCCTACGCTCTGCAAGGAGGCCCAGAAGGCTCATTGGCTCCCCAGGGGAGCTTTGGTGTACCCAAACATTGGTAGGATTTTAAGAAAGGCTTGCTAGTCTCTCTCCAGGAAACGGATTCTGACAATTTCAAACTGAAAAATGCAGGCAGCAGCAGTTCCTTGAAAGAGTTGGGTTACACCCATGGCGTCTCCTCCAGGCTCACCCAGGGCACCTGAGCCCTTCCCAACTTGTCCTTTAATAGTCCCAGGCAGGAACAGAAGAAGCAGCTGGAAAGTGGTAGTGCTGATCCCCCAAACTGGGTGACCATTCCAGCCGGTAGCTCAGAATATCGATACCTGCCTATCGATAGATGCTGTGATGTTGGCTCCCCCAGTTTCTGGAAGCTGGATGGCCAGTTACTCAGGCACACTGGTGTCCACTCCAGTGTTGAGAGCTGACTGCCATCAGGATACTCACTGGCCCCAACAGACCCCAGGCCTGCAGATGAAGGACCCAGTGTCACAGAATCCCTTGTGGAAACGGTATGGGAGGATGGGTCTGGGCACATAGAAGGCAACAGTGTCTGAATGAATGGCAGAGGCAGGTTTAATGGTGTCACCTTGACTTGTTAATGAGCCAGCCCCCAAAAAATGCAAGTAAAAAAAAAGTTTAATCACACAGCACTTTATACAGGTATTATAAGCAGTAGGCATTCACATCTCCACATGAATGGTGCCCTGGGATGCACAGCCCACCATGCACTCATGATGTCCGCAGGGTACCGACAGGTTCCCGGTGAGTGTCCAGTTCTGGCTCTGTCCTTCCCAAGGCTCTGATGCCCGGCAGTCTTGGCACAGCACAGGCGTGGAGCCCGCTTAAGGCTGACAAGACGCATCATGCTTTGGCTTTTTTTTTTTTGTCTGTTTTGTTTTTTTGTTTCTTTTTTCTAGTAAGAGTTAGTATCTTTGCTTTTGAGATTTATTTTCCCAACCTTAAATATTACATACATACACCAGAAATGACATAGCTGCAATACGCTCAACAGCATCCTCTCTACCTGGAGCTTCACATTATCAAAAGCTTAGAAACTTGTAAACCTCTGGGCCTGTGGGGGAGGGTGGAGCTCCCACTGCCATCCAGCCTCCCTCCCTCGGACTGCAGAGTCTGTAAGCCACGGCTGACAGACGGAGCCACTGGATGGGGAGAGGCCCTGTTGCTGGCCTGGTTTGTGCAGAGGCTCCTCTGGCCTCAGCAGGGACAAAACAAGGCTGGATGGAGCAGATGTCAGTACAGCCCACACAGGCAGGTCTGGGCAGGACTGCCAAGTGCCACTGCCAGCTTGGACTGGAAGAGCAAGGCACCGACAGCCATTTCTTTCCCAGCAGCACCCTGTCCTTAACTCCACGCTTATATATGTAAGGGCCACCACCTCTCCTGGGTGTCACTCTGAACCTTAGCTTAGTCCCAATCTCTCTTAGAGAGTAAGGTCAACAGGCCACAGCAGCCACAGCTCCAAGAGATGGAGGTGTGGGGACTAGAGGACCCAGTGCGGCGGCAGGAGGTCTGGGGTGTGGGGAGGCTACAGTCAAGCTGAAGAGGAAGGGGACCGGGAGCATTGCAGGGGCAGCCACGCTTCATGCAAGGCACGTTCTCTCTCCTGCCATCTGCAGGTCCCTCAACACCCCACCTCTGACCTGAGAAGGGACAGCTAGGGGACAAGTGCCAAGACATTCTGCCTGGGGCAACAAGAGGAACAGCAGTGGGGTCCCAGTGCCTCAGGGGCGCCTTTGAAAGGTCACTGAGGGGCAGAGTGCAGCCTCTCGGGACACTTGTTGCACTTCATCAGACTTGCCGCAGGGAGGGGAGGGGAGGGCAGCGAAGGGGAGGGGAGGGGAGGGAGGGAGGGAGGGAGGGAGGGAGGGGGGAGGGAGGGGGGGAGGGAGGGAGCAGGCAGCGGCTGGCCTCTCCCAACATGACACTTTTTCAAGCCCTGGAAGCTACTTGTCCTCTGTGCTCTCCGGCATGCCTGCCTCGAGCAGGGCAGCACGGAACTGTGTCAGGACCCCCCGGATGGTCTTGATGAAGCCCTTGGAAAGAGGGAAGAGAGGAAAGCCGATGTCGGGATAGCCGCTCTTCTCGGGCAGGAAGCTGCGGTAGCTCTTCCTCCTCCTCTTTGGTCTAACGCTGGGCGGTGCTGACGCATCAGGGGCTGTCTCAGTCTGCTCTGTGTGGTCCCTGCTGGCTGAGGCCTGGCCCTGGGCACCACCTTCTGAGTCTGATCCCTGGGAGGCCTCCCCAGGGGCCATCCCTACATCCTCAGGCTCTTCTCGGCCGGAGTCTGAGAGTTCAGTGGCAGCCAGGGGCTCCAGAGAGCTGCTGTCCTTAGGGACCCCGTTAGGCAGTGCCTGGGCCCTTTCCAGCATGGCATGGGTTTCCAGCCATGACTCAATGCGGTTCACCAGACGCCAGCCACCCACACTGAAGTGCTGCCGAATCTCCTGCTCGAAGACCTCAGGAGGCCGTCGCACCAACTGGGTCATGGACTGCACCACACGGATCAGTGCCATCTCATTGTAGCAGCGACTGTTCTCATAGCCTTCCTGCAGGCCCCGGTCACTGTCAAAGCCGGCTTCATTGTAGTATGGTTCATTTACCAGGATCAGACCTGCCAGAAAGATTCCCTCAGTAAGTGGGTAAGCCCAAAAGGCAGGCTTGGGAATGGCCTGAGTGTGCCTGCCAGCCCGTCGTACCTTGGATGGAGATGAGCACCTGGAGAAGACTGGATTTGCTCGTCCACCTCTCTGTCCCCTGAAACACAAATCAAGCCTTCAGGTCTGCCCCAGACGACTCCGCCTCACTGTGCCACCATCTCCACCGGAGCCCATCCTCACCTTTCCAATCCAGGTACCCAGGAGGCTGACGCACACCTTCCCGTTATCATACAGGTTGGGGTTCAGGCGGCCACTGCACTGGGAGAGGTAGCAAAAGTGGGGGGGCACCGCTGGGTAAATGTTAGGGAGCTGGATGTCAAACAGGTAGAGGCCATCTTCGTAGGGAGTCCGAGTGGGGCCCTTGATTAGCGCTGAGAAGAGGTCCTGGAAGGGCAGGAGACAGTTGGCATTCCAGCCTCTTGACCTCCCAGTCGCTGTGACGACAGGGGGAAGGAGGAGGCAGCGCTCCAAAGCCACAGCCACGGAGACGCCAAACCCAAATGTCTGCGTTCCCTTCTGGGGACAGACGGAGGTGCAGTCTCAGTGCTGGAAGGATGGCACTGAGGGTCTGAGCTCAACAGCAAGGACTGGCAGAGAGGCCAGAGGAGCTGCGACCTCCAGGACACAGCACGGTGTTTCTGTATGTGTGTGAATGTGGGCGCTCCTGCCAGGACCTTCTACCAGTCTGTGGCACCCTGGGGAGATGTCGTGAAGACATGGCAAAGCTGCACCAAGCTGGAGTCTCGGAAGACAATTACCCACGTCAAACAGGAGTCCTGGGAAGCTCAAGAAGGATGGGCGTGGCAGTGGCCACCTGTAGTCCCGCACTGGAGTCAGACACTGACTCTCTGGCGTCAATCTACCAGGGCAGCTGCATGTGGTGACGAACTGTACAAAGACCCTATGCTGTGGTGACCCTGAGGACAGCACTCTTTCAGACACCATCCTCTGGAAGCAGCCTCAGAGTGTGGAAAGGCCTCTGGTTTGGGGGCTCAGGAAAGGCATACAAAAGGCAGCCAAGCTCTGACTGGGCTCCAGTCTTAGATGGATTCAGAGCTACTTTTGTTTGTTTTTTGAGACAGGGTTTCTGTGTAGCCCTGGCTGTCCTGGAACATGCTCTGTAGACCAGGCCGGTCTTAAGAGATTCATCTGCTCTGCCTCCCAAAAGTGCCTGGGATTAAAAATGTGTGCCACCATAGCCGGGTGTTGGTGGCGCACGTCTTTAATCCCAGCACTCGGGAGGCAGAGGCAGGCGGATCTCTCAGAGTTCAGGCCAGCCTCCAAAACAATACAGAGAAACCCTGTCTCGAAAAACCAAAAAAAAAAAAAAAAAAAAAGTGTGCCACCACCACCTGGCTACTTTTTAGAGGAAAGACTACCTGGACCCTCAAGTGTGCAGGACATCCTGAGACTTCAGGTGACTGAGCCACATCCCTAGCAACACGGCAATATGGGTGCTGCTGCACCTCAGTGCCCAATGGTACTCATCCCTGCCTCCCTAAGTGCCCAGCAGCCCACTTGCCATTCTGTCCTCGAAAGTCTTGACCATGATGCCATCGGGCAGCGAGGTGGCCAGCAGAGCCATCTCCTTTCGCACTGTGCTGAAGAACTTCTTGGCTTCCGGAGGCTGGAACTCAATCTTCTTGAAAGAGTGGTTTGCTGCAAGGAGAGAGCAGTCAGGCCCTGAACCGAAGCCCTACGGGAGTATGGCCTGAGAGATTCTAGATGGTGAGGGCCCAGGTGCCTCCCTCTACTATCCCCTAGGGCAGGGTGGGGATAAGCTACTCAGCCTACAGGAGTTTGCAGAAACGGGTTCTGGGGACGAGCAAGGGTGACAGACATGAAGCCACTCACAGGGTGCAAACTCCAGCACAGAGAACACCTCGCCCTTGGCACTGGTGAAGGTGACACCAGGTTTGCCACCACACTGTTGACAGAGCACAGGCGTCTCACTGGGCCACTCGGCCTTCACTGGCGACTGTGCCTCAGCCTTATCTTCCTTGCGCTCTGTGTCGGGCACCGCCTCCATCTTCTCCTCCTCGGCGATGGCCACGTTGTCTAGGGTCTTTTTGAGGTTCTCCTGTAGCTTCTTGATGTCGTCCAGAAACTTCTTCTCCCGGGTTGGCTTCTCAGGTTCCACAGTGGGTGAGGTGGGGGACCCTGTGAGCAGCTGCTCTACGGTCATGTTCTTGAGGCTCTCCAGGATCTTGATGGCCTCTTTGAGCTCCCGGAAACTCTTGGGAGGCCCATCCTTGCCGGCTTTCTCCATCAGCCCTGCCACGGGGGCAGCCATGGCCACGGCTCCCTGGATGGCAGCTGTGGCTGCCTCTTCACTGATTACCACCCCCTTGTCCTCCTCAGGGGCTGCCGGCTGCTCTGTTGGTAGACTGGCGAAGTCTTCTATCTTGGGGTGTTCCTCATCTACCAGCCCATTGTCTGTCTCCCAGCTGTCACTGTCATCTTCCCACTCGTCCGAAGATGCCCCACTGGTGCTGCCTTCTACCGAATCGTAGTCTGACTCCTCAATCTCAGACTCGATGTTGTATAAGTGCTGGGAGCAGAAGACAGCAACTCAGAACTCTGGCCTCTTTCCTTCCTGTTGACAACTCACTGTGGCCTTCCTTGGTGACCCCTCCTCTCAACTTGGCATCTGAAAGCCTGTAGCTCTCTGCCAGGGGCCCTCTGCCCACCGTCCACCCCAAGCTGTACATGAAGTGCAGCTAATGCATGCACCGCCTTCTCCCAGCCTCTGGGCAGTCAGGACCACAGGGAAACCTGAGCAAAGTCAGCGTCCTCAGGACCCAGGTCAGGTGCCGGGTGGACAAGTCTTTGTGGGCTGCACCAGGAGAGAGTGGATAATCTTACTGGCAGGCAAAGCAGGTGTACCAGAGCCGGTCACACTGCCCTGCTCTCCCCTATAATGGCTCCAAGGTGAGGGACAAGTCATTCTCTGCCCCCCTTGGCCCACCCTCTTATGTGCACAGGAAAGGAGTGCTGGCAAGTACAGGAGAGGGAAGGGGACCAGCTAGGGACAGCTGGACTGTGGCCCATCTTTTCTTACTCTCTTCTGTCGGCAGCTATTCTAGAAACAGGAGCAGGAAATACCCTAGATAGCTCAACAAGGTGTATGGAGAATCTAGACCAATCTAGAAGTTTGGGACCCTCACACGTGTGGGATCCAGTCCTTGGAGCCGATGTGCGAAGGCTACAGAGCCACCCTCAGTGGCAGCGAGCAGCCCGAGAGGCCAGGGCAACACATGGCTGGCGACCAGGCCCTTGGCGGCCTTACCTGTGGCAGGATGATGGTTTTTGAGTTGTCAGCCCACACCACTTCCACCTTGCTACTGACGTCCACTCGGGCCACCTGGCCCACTGACGGCTGAAGGGCAACGGGGACAGAGTCAAATGGGTGACAAGAGATGAAGCTCCCAGACTGCCCACCCATGGCACCCATTCCCTGGCCTGGCAGCAAATGCTAAGTGGCCTTTCCCAGTCTGCAGCAACTGTCCCCACAGTCACTGCCCCTGCCTCCCTGGCCTGCACTCTTCCCAGCGTGGGTGTCCTGCCTTCAGGGTTTGCTTCTGGTCCTCTGTCTAGAATCTGTCTTGACCTCTCCCAACATCCCCACCTTTTGCTCAAGGTCTAGTTCAAGTTCCATCTCCAAGCCTGACTAGACTCTGTTGCAGTTGACTGTGTGGTGCTCAGAGCTGTAACAGACAGAGGGTGACCCGTCTAGGGACCGACTGGCAGGGTCCAAGATGTCCAAGTCCTGCAGGTGCCTGGGCTGCCTGTCTCTGATGCAGACCATGCCAGCCATCCTTGGGCATCCCAGTTCTAAACTTTGAGGTCTTAGCTCCTGAACCCATCTGGTGGCAGTGTCAGGGACTGCAGGCACTTGCTCACAGCAAGAATTTAAGAGTACACCTACCTCATCCTCCTTGGGCAGAGCTCCATCCTCAGTGTTACCGATGCGGATGACAATATCAGTTGTGCGGAAGCGAAAGTCAGGGTGGTCAGCAATGTCGTAGACACTCACATCCTCCTCTTCTCCAATGAGCTGTGCATAAGCCAAGCTGGCGTGAGGCGGGGCTCCCCCCATCCCCCAGAGCCCACCCAAAGGAAGCAGGTACAGCAAGCTCACCTCCACATCATCCCCACTAGGCCGGAGTTTGAACCACTTCACCATGCATGTACGGCCAACGTGGTCCCCGGATTGCACCACACCATAGACAGCAGGGTCTGGGCAGCTCTGGACTAGGGAAACGAGAAGGGATGTGACTATCTGAAAAGCCCTGGGGTGCCTGTCTGTAACCACATTTCAAACCACAGGCTTCCCCTGGTTTGTTAAAGAGAGACCCCCCAAAGTACTCATAGACGCCAAGTCCTATCCCCACTGGCCCCTGGCCTCAGCTAGTGTCCCACTGGCCACCCTGAGGCTTAGCACTACCTCTCTTGTCCACCACGAAGTCTCCCGGGCAGAACTCGTTGTTGTCCAGGTGGTGCACGGGGAAGAGGTCATTGGAGCGGATGTTGCACTCTACAGAGCCGTCCTGCCACATCACATCTGCTGACGTCATCGTGGTCACCACCTCCACGGCCACCCTGCCAAGTACAGGCCCGTGAGCCAGGCAACACAAACAGGAGGTGACACTCCTTCCAGGCCTGCCCGAGTTGCAAGTGGGCAGGGTGAGATATCTAGTGCGTGTAAACTTCCCCTGGGCCCAAGCCTGACACCTTATCTGGGGTCAGGGCGATAAGGGAGAGAAAACTTGGGTAAACAGGAGGCGGCCATGAGCTGGCTCTCTTTCCTGGATGCAGTGCAGGGTGGCACTCACCTGTCCCCAGGCTTGAAGTCGCGCGTGGCCTTGTTCTTCTTCCGCTTGTGTTTGCGCTTCAGGTTCTTGATGGACAAGGGGATACTCTTTTTACGACTCGCGCCACTGCCGCTCTGGGAGGAGGTCGTGGAGCTGGCGGAGGAGGTCACTGAGCTGGTGTCATCTGTGTCGTCAGCAGCCTCGTCATCCGCATCCTGCCCTGCTGAGTGGTGCAGCCCGTCATCTCCACCCTCCTTCAGCAGGAAGGGGGGCAACGGCTCGCCCATCTCCTGAGGCTCCTCTGACCCCTCGTCCTGCATCTCCACTGGGCTGGCTGATCCATCGGGTTGCTCCTCAGGGCTAGGAGAACCTACTTCACTTTTGGCTCTGGCTTCCCCTTTCTTGTCTGGGTCCTCCATGGAATGGTCCCTAGGACACTGGGTATCTGGAGCGCAGGACATGATCCTTACAACCTGTTTCTTCAACAGGCGCTTCACCTATGAGAGCAGAGCAAAGGAGAGGGAGTTGTGAAGTGAGTCAGGTAGGGGCCCACTGTGACCCCAGGCATTTGTCTTGGGGAGTAGAGCTATAAATACCTAAGTGGCCAGCAAGGGTCCTCATGGCTGTCCCCAAGGCTTAGAGCCCAGACCCACCTTGCTGGCTGTGGAAATGGCATAGGCCAGTTCCATGAGTGCCCACGCCCACCCACCTCAAGGACATACCTTCTTGGCCATAGAGCCCTCCCCCTGGGCGCAGTTTTTTTCTGGACATTCCCAGGCAATCTTGGCCGGCTCTACCTTGGCTGGGAAGACATATAGACAGCGCTCCCCAAGCTGCCGCTGAGCATGGTCAAAGCATCCGAGACGCTTCACCCTGAAGGGAAACAAGGAGTTTGGATGGACTTCTGAGAGGCCGGTGGGATGCATTTATGGCACAACCAAGATACGCCGGGGTTTTTGGGGTAGGGGCACGCTCACCTGCCTAGGTTTTCCTGAGTGATCACAGAAGGTGGGGGGCTAACGCTGTCCGTGCCCCCAGGGCAGAAACTCTTGGTAATCCATGTGACTTTCAACTCCACAACCTGAACCTGGGGACAGGTGAGTGGGACAGGGGTGTGGTTAGAGGTGGACTTTCAAGGTCTGCAGCCACTCACAGGCACATGTGGCCACTCTCCCTGAGCAGGGAGGGATCTCTGCTCATCGGGCACCCCATGACTAAGCCTAGGCTGCTCCATGCTCAAATCCCATTCAGGTCACCAGGGTTTGGGTCTTGGGGAGCAGGTTGGAGGGAAGCAGCTCAGCCCCAAGGTCTGGAGCTTACAACTCGGCCTGCACGCCACCAGTTATGCCCTTACCTCCTCCACCACCACACGGAACTTGCTCTTGGTGCTGAGTACAGGCTTGACCCCCGAGAGCCACTGGACACTGGAGAAGATCTTAGCAGGGCCAATGAGCACTTGGCCTGGGTAGAAGCCATAGGAGTCATCAAAGAAGAGGCCCTGCAGGGTGGGGCAGAGGAAAAGACCCCTGAGTAGACCCCCTTGGCCAGTGTGCTTGCCTTGCAGGACCGTGTGACAGAGCCTTCGGGCTCCCGGCAGCACAGTCTATAGAGAACATACTTTCCAAGTTTGGTGCAAACTGGCTGCCCAGGAATCATATTAAAATGTAGCTGCAGACTATTCTAGGCCTAACAGACTCTCACACAATGTGATGCGGGGATCAGGGGTCCCACACAAGATCAGAGTTCCATGGAGCAGCAGCACACACGTCTGTGTAGTCACACACCCCTAATACAAACTACCTCCATGTGCTGCTGTGCTGACATGCCCTGCTCCACGGAGTGACTGTGTACTGGAGGCTGAGAGAGAGGGGCCACAGCACAGTGCTACCCTGCAATCCTAGCACTCAGGAGGTGGAATTTTGTGTTGCAGGTTAGCCTGAGCTACAGAGTAAGACAGCCTCAAGAAACAAAATAACCAGTCAACCATCCAAATATAACTACTAACACAACTCAAACACAGCACTAATATTTTCTGTCCCTGCCAGGCCTCCAGGTGCTCAGGTGCACACTGTGCCCTTGTCTCTCAATCCCTTGCCCAGTCCCGACAGTTCCTACGCCTAAGCAGGTGAGGAACAGAGCACACGTACCGAGTCGCTGACATGTGGGCAGACATCGTAGAGTTTGGCACCATCTTCTGTGTTCATGGAACACCTGAAACAGGACAGAGGCTTGGTCTCCACTGGGGCACAGTACACAGCAACACTTACAGTCCAGCCCCACGTCAGTGGCTGCCACCATTAACACACACAGCATACAGCACCAACCCTCAGGGACATTCGCCAAGCTCAAGTAGCCCAAAACCTGAGCTGCAGCAGAAGAGAGGCCACAGAGTTAGCCCTGGTCCAGCAGCTGCTGTCACTGTCCTGTGCCACCCCTGTCCTCACAACTCCTGAAGGAAGTCCTTGTACCATCCCAGGCTAACACCTACCTGGCACCATTCGACAATTTGAGGATGATCTGGTTCTTCAGGTCATAGACCTTCCCTAGCCAGCAGTCATAGGCGATGTAGTCTCCATACATGAAGGGCTGCAGACCAAGGACACAGGGCAGTGAGAAGGGACACAGGGCCTGGGACTTTCTTCACTGTGCTAAGATGGAGAAGGAAGGTTCTAGATAATTTACTTGCACTGCATCCCAAGCCCCTTTCCAGTGAGTGGTCAGCAGTAGTTTGACTGCTTCGTGGGTGGGAGTACCCCACAGGGACCAAGGAGACAAAGCCAAGCTTGGAGGTTGGTGTGGTTGGGAGGTGGGCTTCGTGGACAGGCCTTGAATGAAAAGATCAATTCACCATGGACACTGAAGGCAGCATTTTCACTGCGGGGGAGTTTGGGGGTGCTCAGCAAACAGATGCCAGACAGACCAAAGGAGCTTCCTAGTTTGGGACAATTAAAGCAAAATATGTGATGAGGGAATTGTACTATAAGCAGTTGAATAAAAAGAACTCACGCCGGGCGTTGGTGGCGCACGCCTTTAATCCCAGCACTCGGGAGGCAGAGGCAGGCGGATCTCTGTGAGTTTGAGACCAGCCTGGACTACCAAGGGAGTTCCAGGACAGCCTCCAAAGCCACAGAGAAACCCTGTCTCGAAAAAACCAAAAAAAAAAAAAAAAAAAAAAAAAAAGAACTCAGGTGCACACGCATCTAAAAAACGATACAGGAACAAACGGGCACAGCTCCTCCACACAGAGGAATGCCAGCCACACAAACGAGGAAATGAGGACTTCAGGTCACACCATGTGACTGTCAGAACGGTGGCCCATTTAGGTGGCAACATGCCCAGGGATAAGGCTGGCAGATGACTATCTGACAAGGATGCTAAGTATCTGTGCTATAATATTCCCTGTGGAACATAATTACTCACTAAGGGTGATGGGAGAGGGCTGTGCAGAACTACTTGACCTGCAGAGTGAGTATCCCCAGCAGCAGTGTAGCTGCTGGACATAAAGCCGGGGACAGCTGGACAGGGACAACTTCGTGTATGAGCTATTTAAGGTGAGGGTCACAGTACTAAAAGCACCACTGTCCAGGATGTGGGAGAGAAGAAGCATCCCAGACAGAAAAGAAAAGGAAGAATTAACAAGCAAATGCCAGGTGTCTTCCTGACTGAGCTCAGGGAAAGGACACTGTTGGGACGACTGGATAGTCTGAGGCTTGAGGCAGAAAGGTGTCATCGTTGATCCCTTATCTAGTGGCAGTATCCAAATCTTTGGAAGGGTCAAAATCTAGTGAGCAGGGATGCTGGGGGCCGGGGGGTGCTGGGTGAAGATGAATGGAGTGAGTGGGAGAGTTATTAACAGCTGCAGACACTAGAGAAGTGGGCACATGAACTTAGCACTTTTGGCTAAGTCTTAAGCCACTTACAAAAGTAAGTTAATAAAAGAAACCTGTTTTGTTATGAGTAAGTACTTGGCCACACATATGTGTGCCACGTGTGTGCCTGCCTGGTGCTCTCAGGGGTCAAAGGACAGAGTTGAATTCTCTGAAACAATAGGTCCGCAGCAAGAATAAGTACTCTTACCTGCTGAGCCAACTCTCCAGCCCTCTTGTTTTAAAAGTTAAGTGTTAGATGGAACTGGAGAGATGGCTCGGCAGTTAAGAGCAGTGGCTGCTTTTACTGAGGACCTGGATTCCAGGCCCAGCACCCACATGGCAGCTCATAAGCATCTGTAACGCCAGTTCCAGGGAATTCAACTCCCTCTTCTGATACCAGACATGTAAGTGGTACAGAGCGTACACAGACAAAACAGCCTCCCATATTAAACAAACATCAGTGTTGGAGGTGAGAAAACAAGGAAAATAACCACATTTGTCAGTGGTTTGTGCTGATGCCAAGGAGAAGCACACCCTGACCTCTTGTCCAATAGCGTAGTTGCAAGGACAACACTGAGGATTCCAGGAGCAGGCTGGCCACTGGGAACAAGCACTGTGCTATTTGACCCAGAAAGACTAGCTTGGCAGGAGCAGCACAGATGTCACACAGCCAAGATGAGAGGCACTTACCCAGATGTGCTGGAGGTCCTTGCTGTTGACAGGGTAGATGATGCAGTTGGTGCCAATGAGCTTGACAGCACAGTCAATGTTCACGTCTATCACTGTGCCACACTGACTGTCCTAGGGGAGGGAGAAAATATCCTGCAAAGCTGCCATGGCACACTCCACCCAGACAGTCCCAAGTGCCTCCCACTCCCCAACCAGGCAGCTCTCTCTCCTCCAAACCAGTGTGGGAACAGACAGGCTCAGGACTCAGGATGGGACGGGGGGGGGGGTGGGGTGGGTGGGGGGGTGAGACTCACGGTTGAACGCATGTGGCGGACCACATCCCGGGGTACCACCGAGCGGTCCTCTAGCTTCAGCTGTAAAGAAAACATGAGTACGAGGCATGAAAGCAGCAGGTCTAAAGGCAGGATGCACTCTACCCAGGGTTTAGCTCATTCTACAAAAGCAAACACCCCGATGAGTTAAATCCTTCTCCAAGTGCCTGCTCTCTGACCCTGGCTGGTCAGCACTCAGGACTGAGTGGGGAACTGGCATGACACAGGGCTGTGGCTGGTCACGCTGAAGCCAGCTATCACTGGGTACCACCCTTCTAATCTGGGTTACCCTGCCTGCCCAGCTGCAGTATGCTCCTTATCTGTGGCACTGCAGAGCCTGGGCTGTGTGGCTCTCAGGCTGGCTGCAGAGTCTGTCCTGACCCATGTGAACCCCCAGCAACTGCCACCTATTGCCACCAAGCTGCTGGATGGCCTCCAACAACCAGGCAGAGCTGGGTCTCTGCCAGGCCAGTTTGTCTCCTGTGTTTTTGGGTCTCCAAATCTCGGCCGCTCCTCTGCCACTCTTCAGCAACCTACAAGTAATGGGAGCTCTCCATCTTCCCTGCTCAAAGACTGGCGACCACACCCCAGGAAGAGCTATCCTCTTCAATCCCACCCAACCCACTACCCCATCAAAGACCTCTCCTCTCTCAACCTCGGAGAGGTGGTCACCAGAAGAGTGTAAGAGAAGCGGTGGAAGTGTGATTCTAGCACAAGGTCACTGATGCTTTGGCAAGGTCAACTAAAGCAGACTCCAGAAGCAGGAATGAAAAACTTCCCACAGGGACCAGGACCTGTTCCAGATGACAACAGCCTATGATTGTTGCTAAGAAACACTCTGCCGTCTATATTATATGCACACGTGTTACCTCAGCAGCCAACTCTGGGTACCTGTGACAGGATCCAGGAGGCCACTGATTAGGGGCCTAAGTCACCACAAAAACCAGAAGTTGCATGTAAAGGTCAAGGGTTGAGGGTCCCTGAGGAGAGCTTTGAGCTGAGTCTGCAGCTTTGTCAGGCCCAGGCACTGCCAGGGATGAGGGGAGGCCTACACATATCCAGGCCTTCACTGGCATGACCTCACACAGGGCACATCAAGTGGAGGTTCCAGGCCTATGGCTGAAGCGAGGCCCTGTGTACCAGGAGGGAGGCTCAGAGTGTGGCTGTCCACCTGGAAACTGTCTCCGGCTCCAATGCTGTCATCACAAGGAGCCCCATCTCCCCAGAGACCTAGTGGCACTGGGAGCAGTGGGGAGGGAGACAGTGAGAGGGAGGCCTGGCATTACTGTATGACATTCTCTTGGCCTTGGCAGTCTAGAAAGGGGACAGGCCAGGCTCTCCCTCGCTGCTCCCTTGTCTTTCTCCAACACTTTCGAACATGCCTGTGCTCTGCAGCTTGGGTGCCGTTCTACCTCAGTGCCCCTTTCCTGCCTTGCCCCAGCAAGGGCTACCCACTTCTCAAAGCCCTCAACGTCCCCTTCTGTCAGGAGCTGCTGTGACTCTGGGGGCATCCTCTGCTCTGCACTACAGGCCCCAGGCTGGTTTCTGGACCCTGCATGTGTTACCTTGAGGTGTCACAACTCATGAAACACCGTTCCTCTGACTGGAGAAAGCGACTGTGCAAGGTCACACAGCTCACAGAGGCTCCGGCTGAGCTGAACTCAGCAGCCCTGCTTCTGCCCTCTTCCTTCACCATATCACCCTCAGCTGCAGAGACAGGACAGAGTCAAAGGGTCCACACATTCTCAAGCAGTTTCCCTTCCATCGGAAAGGTCAAGGACTTCACAGGTGCCAGCGTTACCAGGAACTGAACACTGCACCTGCTCAGTTGAGAAAGACTCTACTGCCAAACTAGAGCTGTGAAACAAAAACCCAAGTCTCGACCTCCAAGGGAGGCCCTGAGGTGTGGCCATCACAAGTGTCACAAGAGCCAGAGGTGAGTGGACCCTGTAGATTTTAACTGTCATAGTCTCTAACATGCTCGGCAATGCAGAGCTGGCCACATAATGTTTAGCATTTCCTGGAAAGCAGCAGTGAGCAGACGTTTTGGAACAGCAGGAGAGAAGCCATGACACCAAATGTTAGGCTCTGTGTGGGCGGAGTCATGGATTGTGTGAAATAAACATGGGTCACTTTGGGTACCTCATTGCCTCCTGTGGAAACAACTCAGGGCCATGCTGTGGAGGAGGGAGGCCAGCTGGCTTTAAGGGACAGCACCCTCTGTCCACACAACACGGACGCCCAAGCACATGAGGGAACAGAGCAGACACAGGCTAGGCCGTGTACAGAGCCACACAATATGCAACTTGAGGACTATAAAGGGGCCACTCCGAGGCGGCATCTGACTACAGACCTGGGTGAGTAAGGCAGTGAGCTTCCAGGGATAAGAGCAGTGTCTGGAGGCTGGAAGGTTACTCAGGCCCTAGGAATGTCCACCCTGAGCAAGGCATAAGTCCCTGTGGGCCCTGAGCCAAGGAAACACACTGGGACCATCTGCTGTTGGCAAGGGAAAGAACTGGTTCTGTGACTTTCAATTGGGAGCCACGCTGTCTTCTCACCCCAGGGACACTCCAGGCTGTCACACATGGCAGATGCTGTTGAGGCCAAGGTTTGTTGTACATCTCATGATACAAAGGACAGCTCCTGTCACAAGAATGACTGGCCAATGGGTCAGCAGAGTCCAGGCTGAGAAACCTGAGGCTCTTCAGGACACTGGGAAACAAAGTCAAAGGTCACTTCCACTGCACCCCATTTCTTGTCCTGGCCCCAATTTAACACAGGGTCTCACTGTGTAGCTTTGGCTGGCCTGGAACTGACTTTTTTTAGACCAGGCTGGCCTCAAACTCAAAGGTCTATCTGCCTCTGCCTCTCATTTTGGGATTAAAGCTATGTGGCACCATGACATTTCCTTTTTTATAACTGATATATAAAAACTACCTACTAGACCGAGGAGATGGCTCAGTGGGTAAGGTGTTTGCTGTACAAACATGAGGACTTAAGTACCTCAGTGCCCATATAAAAGCCAGGTGCAGCGGTGTCTATAACTTTAGTCCCGGGTGTGGGTCAGGGCCAGAGAGAAGCGGATACTCAGACTTGTCACCCTGACAACTCAAGATCAACCCTGACATTGTACATGGTAGAGACTAACCAATGCCTGAAAGGTGTCCTGCAATGTCGCTTAAGTGCCATGCACATCTGTTCCCTACCCCACAGAACGCACAGCCATGGCTCAACAAATGCAAACACATTGAGGAAGAGGGCCAGGGATACATAATGGCACTTGTCACCACCTGACAGCTGATGGAAGCCAGAAGGCAGACGAGACGGGAACTGACCCTCCAGTGTGCTCTGACCTCTACACATCCATCACACCCTAAACACAACTGTGAAACCTAAGACTTCAGTATCTATATGTATCTGTGTTTCTGTGCACACGTGTGCAGTACCATGGAGACCACAAGAGGGTGTTGAGTCAGTTGGAACTGAAAATACAGGCAGTCGCAAGCTGTCTGACATGAGTGCTAGGAACCAAATTCAGCTCCTGTGGAAGAAGCCACTCTTAGCGGCTGGACCTCTATCTCTCCAGCCTATTTTACTTAAAAAACAACTAAAAATTCAGAGGATTCCCCAGCACCACATGGCAGATCACAACCATCTGTAACTACTTCCAGGGGATCCAACATCTCCAGCTTCCTGGGCAGGGCACTACATCCAAATGGTACACACATATGCATATACACGCGTGCACACGTACACACACACACACACACACACAAAACAATCATACACATAAAACAAAAATAAACAAAATGGAGAATGACAAAAAGAAGACACCTTGATGACCTGATATTGACCCCTGGCCTCCACTGGCACAGGCGGAATGAGTGAATCCACATCCACACACAACCGTACGAATAATGGGGGAAAGGCAGAGGTCAGCAGCCCCAGGGAGAAGGCTCTGCTGTGGAGTGAGCAGGCTCTGTCCTCCCAGAACCCCATCTGCCCAAGAGGCCACTCCTCGCTGCCTCCCTGGCTGTACTCTGAGCATGAGCTGTGCTCCCAGCCTAGAAGCTCATTCATAAAACTGAACTTGGTCAACCAGGCATACTAAAAGTCTCCCGTATAAAAGTCTCCAAGATTAAGCAGCTGAAAACAGAAGGTTGCTAAGACAGACAGCTCCAACTAACGGGGCTCCTCACTCAAGGCGGAGCTGCCACAAGGCCACAGGAAGGGTTATTTAAAGTTTATTTTTAATTGTGTGCATGTACATCTGTGCGTGGACATGTACACAAGTGCAGGTGTCCGCAGAGTCTCTGGAGCTATAGTTACAGGCAATCTTCTGACACCATCTCTCCAGCCCCCACAGAAAGGGTTTCAGTGGGCCTAAGCATGCATGTCTCAAGAAGGAGGCCATAACCGCTGTCACTATCTCCTGGGAAAGCCCAAATGAGAAAACCATGCCTTGGTCTCAGGAAATGACCCAGACTTCCTTGGGGTAGGAATGTAACCAGGACAGGGCCCTTCCTTTACTAGGGAGCAAGAATGCCCCTCCCCAGTCATACCTCGCACCTACTGTAGCAAGGTAAGGGTTCAAGAATAAACAGCATCCTTGGTTGTTGGGGAAGTCTTATGCCAATAAAGCACTGTCTGGCCAATAGGGAATCTAGATAGGAGGGACTAGGAGTCCAGGAGGATTCTGGGAAGGAGAAACACAGAGAGTCGAGATGTAACACCATTGGGGTAGGAAGCCTGGAAACCTCTCCGGTAAGAGACATACTTAGATTAACAATTATGGGGTAATTATTTAAGTCAGAGCTAGCCAGTAAGAAACAAGCAAAGGCCAACAGCTTCATAATTAATAGAGCGTCTTGTGTGTTTATTTGGGGACTGCAATGCGGCAGAACCCAGGCGGCTGGCAGGGGATAAACCAAAGGGGCTAGCAAAGAAAAAGCTTCCCTTACCACTTGGTGAGTGGAGAAACGGGGATAGTTTACAGCGGACCCTGTTTTGGACTTGTGTTCAAAGAGAGAGGTTCCCACCAC